GGGGTGTTTTGGCGGGGGCGGGGGTCGGGTAGCCCCGCGGCGGGAGTCCGGGGGTGAAACCCCTACCCCGGCTTGGGCCCCGGGGATCCCCGCGTGACAACCCTGCCTGGAGTGGCTTTTTCCGAATGTTCTTGACCTGGTCCCACCTTGCTTTGTCCTTCATTCGGCTATCCGTTACACGGTTACCTACTTCCTCCAATGCCTCCTCATTCCTGGCGACTTGCTGGCAACGTGCGGTGATTAACTCCTCCGTGGTCAAGTGCGGATTATCGTCTAACCTGTTCCAAGTAGGGACGAGGGTCTCCACTGGGAAGTCAATCTCCCTTCCATACCATAGCTCCGATGGAATGCATCCTGTCGTTCTTTTTGGTGTCATGTTCTCAGAGAAGACTGCCTGCTTAAGGTACCTTGGCCAGTTCCCCAAGTTGTCTGCTGCAAGCTTAGTGATTGTGTTTTTCAAGGTTCGGTGCCCCCTTTCTACTGGTGCATTTGCCTCAGGGTGGTAGGGTTTAGTGATCTTGATTGGTACGCACAGTGTCTTAAGCCTGTTCCATAGCTCCTGGTTAACAAATTTTGTCCCATTGTCTGCTATAAACCTGCGCACGAAGGGGTGTCTTAGGTAGAAATCTTCCACCCAGTCGGCCACTGCTTTCCCTGTCTTCTTTTTGAGGGCTACGACCTCTACAGAGCCACTGAGATTATCCCTTGCATCCAGATGTATCTAAACCCATTCGTCGATACGGGCATAACCGCAAGATCGAGGTGAACAAGGTATCCAGGTCCCAGTACCCGGGTGGGTCTAAGGGGTTCGTAAACTCGCACGGAGCTCCTCTCTTGACATATTAGACACGTCTGACAGTACGTTGCGACCATGCTTGTCATTCCCGGCCAGAAATACAGGGGCACGATCTTTGCAAGTGTCCCTTTTAACGATTAGTGACCTCCAGCTAGCCCATCATGCATTGCCTTAATTACATCTAGTTGCCTAGACCTCCCACAAACAACTCGCCTAGGCGTCATCCCTTCCTCTTTCTTAAACAGGTGACCATTTCTTAAGACATACTTCTCAGCTCTCTCCCTTGCCTTGGAGCTGACTTCCGTAGGTTGTTTGTTCCATACAAGCAGCAGGCCGATTTTTTTGAAGACGCCCTCGTATATCTGTATGAGGAAGAATTCATGTTTGTTCTGATCCGTACCCCGCTCCTCCCGAGTGAGATTGACTAGGTACTGAAACTCCTTCTGTGCCCAGGTTTCGACCAATGTCATCACGGCGTCCCAGCCCCCTTCCACGGCCATCGCCATCAGCTCTTCTCTAGCCCCTACTTCTGCTCCCCACAAGTCCTTCTCCTCTTTACGCCTGACCGTGGTGACTGGTCCTTCCCTGAGTTCTGCAACCACTGCAGGTGCGCCCTTTTCCAAGGTCTGAATCAGCAACTGACCTGTCGTAGTTACTGGATCTGCCATCTCATTATCCACAACAAGGGTCCCTCGTTCGTATTCCAGGAAGGCGTCAATTGGTTCCGCGTCCTCTACTCCTTCTGGTGTGATACATACCCTGCTCAGCCCATCTGCCCTATTTCGAAGTCCTGCAATTCGCTCGACCGTATAGTTGAATTGCCATATGAAGCCTATCCATCTGCCAACGGTCAGATCTATAGGCTTATAGTTCTTTAGGGCCCCGGCAACGTTGGTGGGATCGATCCTTAGGATAAATCGCCTTCCGAACAGGTATGCTTGGAAGGTCTTAAGACAATGCAGAATCGCTAAGACCTCTTTCTTGAACTGTGAGTACCGCCGTTTTGCCGAATTCAGGGTCCTACTTTCAAATCTGATTGGCCTTTCCTTGCCCTCCTCGCTTCTCTGTATCAATACTCCTCCAACTGCCAGCGGTCCCCCATCTGTTTCTAAGATGAAAGGTCGTCCTACCTTGTCATTGAAACAGGGTGTTGCTAGAGTGACCTTATCGGATGACAGGATGTCTTTCAGGGTCTGGGCTGCTGCTTCCCTATCCTTGGTCCAATCCATAGTGTCGCCTTCCCTAATCATTGCGCGGATAGGCTCTGCTATCTTTGCGAATCCTTTGATGAAGATCCTCCAGAATCCAACCACCCATAGGAAGGCTCGTACTTCCGTCGTGGTGCGCAGGGGTGTCGGCCCACTGGGAGATCTTATCCGTCTTTGCTGGGTCGGGTATCCTCCCATAAGCTCCACAACGAAATCCCAGTATGGTTACTTCTGGGACGGCCAGGATGCTCTTGGGTCCGCTTGCAGTAATATTGTAAACAAGGAATCGCTGGAGTAGGTCCTTAATATCCTGCAGGTGGTCCCAAACAAACTTTCGTACGGCCGGCTCGGCCTCCGTCTCGTCCTTGTACCTTGCGCCTTTTACGAGATTATCATCTATACACGGTTCACACTGTCCCGGAAACATATCCCCTGCGACGACGAGCATCCTTCTCTGCGCCTCTGCTACCGCATTTGTAAAACCCATAGGGGTCACTTGCATCTGCAGCTGCCCTACGGGGGTGTGCATTACGGTGTACGGTCTATCCCTCGCATCAAGCGACAACTGATCATATCCTGAGTACAAATCTACCAGGGAGTAAATATTCCGCCCCGCATGAGATTCTGCCAACAAGTCGGCCTGTCGAAGCGAGCCTGCGTCCCTAATTGTTACCGCATTGAGTTTCTGCAGGTCCTGGATCCACCTGAGCGTCTCATTGGGCTTCCTGAACACGAACAACTTATTTGCGTAGGGGGATGCGGTGGGTTCAACCACGAAAGAATCTATCTTAGCTCTAAGCAGATCGGTGACCTCCGCTGCTATCCCAAACTCATAGGCGGACCCTTTATCATTCCAACACTCGTGCTGTACGGTGTGGATCCTACAGGGGGAACTAGCTTTGCGTCCAATCGCCCTTTCTGATGATCGTTGAAAACGAAAGCTAAATGAAACTCCTGGCATGCCTTTCTTATCAACTGAGTTTCTTCCGCTGTTAGAAACCCTTCCACTCCTATTTCCATGGTGTCTGCTACCTCATCTGGTATGCGATGCCCTTTTGTTGCGCGTCTCTCCCTTATAACCCGTAAGATCTCCTCCTTTTTTTCCATGACCTCTTCCTTTGATGTTTCTACTAGGATCGAGACCGGCTGGGCCTTCTTCTCTACGGGTTTGTATTTTCGCACACTGCCTTCTGGGATCGTTCTCCTAAAAAATGAACGGTCGGGATTTACCTTGCTATTTCCATCATACGAGGCTGAATGCTAACTATCTTCTCATTCAGGCAGTAGCCTTTTCGAACCTTATCCTCAAACTTGGCAAGCGGTGCCGGGTCCACCCCCACTTTGTGGTACCTGATTGCCTTCACAAGTTGCAACAGGTCCGGGATTTCGAGCGCTAGCTCGGGGGTCTCGTTACGGCTTTCCTTTGGTTTGGGTAGGCTAGCCCCAAGTTCAACTTCCAGCTCCTTTTCCGCCACCATAACCCCCAGGGGCTCGTCCTCTGGCCTCCACTTCTTTACGGGCAGATCCATCTTGATCCATTCCTTTTTACTAAAAGCCTCCTCGATCATAATTTCTACCATTTCCCTCATGCCTTCCATTCGTGCGAATGCCTCCTTCCGCGCACTTTCTTCGAATGTTGGAGACCAGGTTGCCAATTTGCCCTTCGGAGGGTCCCCTCCGGTCCCAAGAAGTCGGAGGAGTTCCCCGTGGCCGGTCACTGGGTCCTCTATGTCTACCATGTATGTGTCGTCGTGCAGATGCATTCCTATTATTTCCACATTGGCGCACCACGGCCTCCCGAGGATTACGTCGTGACTGCACATTTGGTGACATACCCTGTGAAAGGAATTTTGCCATCGGCTCCCCGGATACTCCCTGCTACTTCCTTGTTTACCGTGCACCCCGTGACCGTTGCGAAATCCCGTTGTATGAGGGTGATTTCTGCTCCGCCGTCCACTAATGCATCAGTGTGGTGAGTTCCGATTTGAACTTTAAGTTTCCCAACTGGTAATGCATGAAAGCTAAGCTTTGTCCCAGGTGGCGCCCTCATGACTTCGCCACCTTCACGATCCGGTAGGCTTAGGCGGATGTCCGCAAAGGCTTTCTCCAAATTTCCCAGGCCCCCTAGAATGCTTTGGAGGTTGGAGACTCCTTGCGGCGCCTCGGCCTCTTCCGTGTCCTGCTCTTGCAGTTCTGGGGCCTCCTCTACCTTTACGTGCTTACGTGTTAGCAACTGCCTGAGTCCTTTAAGCAGCCTCAGGCTGGCTTGCAGCATGGTCTGAAAAGACACCGATACCATGGTACCCAGTAGCTTACTCAAGGTGCCATCGATTTCTGGCGAAGTCAGGATCGGAATTTGGTACCTGAACTTCTTTTTTGCCGTCATAGCCTTGTCTACCGGTTCGTCCTCTCTTGGCTTCCCATAGACCTTCTCTTGTTCCCCGGCTTCAGTCTCTTGCTGGCCCTCGCTAGTCCCTGCGAGTTCTTCCATTACTGTATCTTGAATAAGCTTTTTTTCTGTGCCGGCCTGGCGAGTGGTGATGTTTACCCTATCCCGGCCATTGCCTTCTAGGATAAAATTGGTCTGTGGTCCCCGTCCCCTTGGCTGGTCCCAGACAATCTCGGCTATCGGCTCTGCTTCTACGGCAGCTATCTCTAAGTTGTTCAGGAGGATGACGGCCCGCCGCATCCCTCCTGGCGAGTTCCAATTGACACGCTCCCCCCCTAGGTCCGAGGATCTCGCCTTTGAGGGACCTGTTGTACCTCTGCCGCTCGATATCGTGATTGAGTCTCGGACAGGCCCATACGAAATGCCCGATCATGGTGCAATACTTGCATTGTTCGTTGGTCGGGTCCCTCCTGCCAAACCCCCGGTTTGCTACAGCTGCCGGAACCACGGCCTCTTGGGGCGGGAGGGCGAGTCTGGACACTTGCGCCTGCATTACTAACAACGCATTTTCCATTCTGTCCATCTTGCTGTCAACCCCGTGCACCCGTTCGTGCAGGCTCTCTATCCCCTTCTTGACCTTATCCCCCGTCTTCCCGGTCAAATGTATTACCTCCCCTTCCTTAAGCAGGGCTAGCGTCTCGGTGACCACTGTCTTTTCCGCAAGGTCTGTTACGGTGTTGAAGTCCACATCTCTTGTGTATTCGAACTTATTGGTCTGCTGGTATGCTGACAAAATCTTTATCAAACTCGAAAAACTGCCTGAGGAAGTATTTACTCATTATGCGGTCCGTTACCCTGGGAATTCGCAGAGCCACTAACGTGAATGCCCTTAGCAAATCGTTGTAAGTCTCATAGTTTTTCCTCTGGACTACGGCTAATTCGGCTTCTGTTGCCATTTTCTCTGCCTTCAGGTATTTCCTCATCATCTCATTTCTGGTTTCGTTCCAGGGTCCACTGGAGACGACGATGGCGATAATGTCCTTTCCCAAGCTTAGCAACACGTGCTGCCCTAGGTGCTCCATCTTTTCCTCTTCCGTCCATTTTAGTAAGGCTGCTAGGTTCTCATAGTCTATTAGAAACTCCGTAATGTTGGCCCCATCGAACGTGAGTTTCTTTTTTGCATCTGCGAGATACCCCTAGTTCTTGTTTAGTGTCCTGGTGAGGGTGACGACTATTCTCTTGAGACCATCTTCGGAGCGACCCGCTTCTCCGGCTGCACTGGTCTCTTCCCCTTCCTTGCTTTCCCTCTGCTTCTCCCTGGTTTTCGGCGTTCCTTCTGGGTCGAACGATCCTAACACTCTTTCCCTAAGGTTCCAGAGTCCGTCACACGCCCCTGTTATTTTCGGTGTGGTGGGTAGTCTGCTAGTGCCGCTGTCGATGGCGGGTGGGGTCATAGCGTGTTCCGTTCCTTCCGTCGGGGGGTCGTCTTTGTCCTTCCCCTTCTTGCTAGGCGTTTCCTTGTGGCTATTATCCTTTCCTTCATACCTGGCCTCGTCCTGACTGGTCCTTCGCCCCTCTTGTGACCCTGCGCCCTAGGGGTCCTCCTCATCCCCGGCCATCATCTGCTCGATAAGCTTCGCCTTAAATTCTGCAGTGCGCTTTTCTATCTCGACCAGTTTACGACGGGTATCCGCGACTTTCGTCTTTTTAGGGGTTCCTGCTAAGTTCCTGCTAAGTTCCGAGGGCTTGTTCTCGTATCGTTTCCCCCTTCCCTGTTTTCCTGAGGTCCCTTTTTGCTACCCCCAACTTTCCCTGAGCTTTCTCCTGTTGAGAGGTCCTTCCCGTCTTCTCGGGTTCCCTCTAGTTTGGCTGACTCTCGATCCATGGCTGATCCTTCGTTTCGTTCCCCATCCCCATTCGTGCCCTGATTCCCTTTGCTCTGCTGATCCTCGATTTATTCCTCCATCGCTATTCCTTTACCTTGCCTCCACATGAAAAAAAAAAAAAAAAATTGCGAACATGGTCGGTTGTTCATAACCGTCATAGTCCCGGCCATAAAGTACGCCTATTCCCATATTTTTGCGTCTTTTTACTTATTTCATTTAATCTTCAGCTCCCGCCCGAACACTCCCCGGTTTCTAGCTTGAATCTTCCTTTTCATTCCTTGACCTCTTTTATTGGTCCGTCCCTACGTCCATCGGCTCATACAACTGGTACAGATCATCTGCGTACACCATCCCTTGACTTATTTCCCGTCGGATGACACCCCACAGGACCTCACTTCCCACGACCGAAGCCCTCGGCCCGGTGCTAAACACAGCACGTAGGATGCACAACACCTCGTACTTCTGCTCTCCACTGAACGGGCCCATTTCTAGGAAGGCCCGATAGTATTCTCGATGTACCATCGCATCTTCATATGTCAGGCTTGCGAGGTCGGTTACTGCTCGTCTAACAAGTCCCAGACCGCCAAGCCTTTCCAGCAGGAAGAGCGGCAGCCTCATTTGTACATTTTCGCTAGGCAATTCGAAACTCTCGACCATGGCTACCCTGAGGTCCGCTGTTACATCGTCAACCCCCGGATCTCCGAACTCAAACCCCGCTCGCCATACTAACTGCCATGCCCCTTCAAACATGCTCAAGGGGCTTCTCCTGATGCCAGCCGAACTCCGAATTCCCTCCACCCATCCTCTGACACATACAGTCGTCCTTCTACACGCACATGCCCCCGCAGGGTCCGGGTTCCATTCCCCATTCTCATCCGCACGCCACTCAACTTTCGTCGCCAAGTAAACCATATTTTTCCGCAAGCTCGACCCCGACCCAATCTGCCACCTGGTGCCAGCCTTCACTTGCCGCCGGCAAGCTAACCTCTACCCCACCCGGTACTTCCCTAGGCGTTCAATGCCCAAGGGGCGTTCCTCGAGGAACGTCCTTCTTCGCGCCATCACGCACTCGCCTTTGATCTCCTGGCTCGCAATCCGCACTGAACCCTACAATAGCCAGACATCGCATTCCCTTGCTGTTTAAACTGTGCAGGGGACTACTAAGTCAAAAATGGCGATGGGACGCGCCCGGATGCTGCGACGGTCCACACACCCGTGGCCACCCACGGAAAGTGGAGACGGATGGGAGGTATCGCTCCCAGCAAGCTACATGATCCAAGGATTGGACATCGAATGTTTGACTTTTTTCTCCTGGGGCGTCCTTCACGTTTTCTTCTACCGGGGCCTTGCCGCCGCCGCTTGGCATTTCATTACTATCACACTTTGATTCTTAGGGCGGTGCCTGAGCCCAGTGGCTTCCCTATCGGGGATGGCCCTTTCGGCTTGTTGGCATCCAGGTGCCCCATAATTTTTGGAGCGGGTGGTCTTCCTAGTTCCTCCCTGCCGCATCATTAGGTCGGCCGGAATTCCAACCACTGTCCCTCTTTTGCTGATGGCTGCCTACTTATCTTAGTACCCATCCTTTATTTCCCTACCTCTCCCTGACGCGTTCTCTCATGTTGGTCCCTCAGGCCTGCCCTCCTCATCCGGTTCCTCGAACAAGTCAGCCAACCCAGCAAGGTAATTTTCCCCCATCTTTATTTCCCTGACAATTATTGGCTCATATTCTTCAAACGACAGGTGGGGCAATCCGAATATCAAGATCTCGAGTAATTCGAGTAGTTCCCAGGCCTGATTCCCCCAGAACGGCCCATGTCTGACCGACACATCGTAAAACATGCTCGTAGCAATTTTTTTCATATTTGTCTGGCCCCACGGCTTTCTTGCGTTTAGTCGAACCACAGTACTTCGAACAGTTTGAACACATCATCCACATGGCAAGGTGTTGCTGCTACCTCACGGCGGATTATGGCCTCCCTAGTTTTCGGGGCCACCTCCTATCGGTCATTCCTTTCAATCTGCAAAATGATAAGAACCTCCCGGGCTCTATCGCCGTGGAAGGGCCCGAATTTCAAGGACGTCTTATAAAATTCCTCTGCCAGCCATGCGCAGTTCACGTGTATTCGTTCCATCGTGTCGGCTACCTTTGTTACGTGATCAAAACCCCCAAACCAGTCCGCCATGAATTTGGGCACCCAGATCTTGGTTCGGGTGCCAGGCGGTTTAAATTTCTTCCATCCTCCCATCACGACTCCACTGATGACCGTATCCCAACCTTTGTTAGCAAACCTTTCCCCCACCTGCCGAGCCCTTGCCTCAGCGTCCCCCTAAAAGCCACATCAAATCCTGTCATGCCGCGAGCGTTGTGCAGAACAGGTGCCAACCTTGTTTAGAGAGGACGATCGTTCCGACTGATTCCACCCTTCCTTCCGCAATCTCTTCCCATCCTTCCTCTTCCCTCAACGGGTTTCAAACATGCTCTATCCATAGGTACGATAGCTCCGGTATGATCTCATACTCCCGCCAATCACATGTGGTCCCCTTCCATTCATAGCTCGGCGGTATTGACATCTCTACTCCCCTATGGTTCGTCTTGGTTCCCATGTGCAATCCCATGGCTCGAATTCCCGGGCCATCGCTCCCTACCTGCACATAGTTGACGGTCCGTTTTCCCCGGGTAAGTCCCCCCCTTTCAGAAGTCCCAGTCCTCTATCTCGTCCCCGCCCTCCTCTTCTAAGAACATCTCTTTCACCCCTTCCAAGAAGGTTTCCCCCGCCACCACGTTTCGGTAAACTATCTGCCAATACACCAGACGAGGAACAAAGACTTCGTCCGCGCTGAGGAGGTTTAACATCTCAGTTAATTCTTCCGCCCAGTTTCCTTCAAACGGCCCTACTTCCATTGACAGCCTAAAGGAGTCCTGTCTAGCACATTGGTATAGCCTCAGGCGTGTCATCGATTGGCATATACGTTCTAGTCTATCCCTGGTCCCAAAGACTGCATCCACCAGAAACGGGGGTAACACACACCTCATTGTCCTAAGAGGACGTCTCATATTTTTCCGGTCCCCGAGTTCCACTCGCACCTCCATCCTTTCCATCTTCATTTCTGCCCGCTGACATGCTGCCCATACCACTTCCTGTTCCGCTTGCCTAAACAGTTGATCCGGTGTCGTGCCCAATACTAGTCCCACTACTATTGCATTTTCCAATTTCTGTGACAGGTAGACCCACCCTCGAGCTTCCACTGTTCCTCGGAATTCTAGGTCCATCAAGCGAGGTGAAAGTCTCGTCAGGCTGACCTTAGTCCAGAT